GGGGTCCCTCATGGACCTGCTACCCAGTAAAAGCTCGGTCCGACAGACGACGTTGCGAACGACGCGCAACTCCTGGGCCGGCCCAAAAACCTAACGACAGGCCAGAAGGACGATCCAGCCTCCGACCGGAAGGCCTGACCAAGGAGGAACGGCAAGGAGAGGACGACGCTCGCTTCTGACTTCGGCCCACCTCTCCGACCGGAAGGCCTGGCCAAGGAGGAACGACGCTCGTTTCCGACTCCGGCCCGCCTCTCCGACCAGAAGGCCTGGCCAAGGAGAGGACGACGCTCGCTTCCGACTCCGGCCCGCCTCTCCGATAGGAAGGCCTGCCCAAATAGGAACGACGCTCGCTTTCGACTCCGGCCCGCCTCTCCGACCGGAACGCCTGGCCAAGAAGAGGATGACGCTCGCTTCCGACTCCGGCCCGCCTCTCCGACCGGAAGGCCTGGCCAAAGAGGAACGACGCTCGCTTCCGACTCCGGCCCACCTCTCCGACTGGAAGACCTGGCCAAGGAGAGGACGACGCTCGCTTCCGACTCCGGCCCGCCTCTCCGACCGAAAGGCCTGTCCAAGGAGGAATGACGCTCGCTTTCGACTCCGGCCGAAAGGCCTGGGCAAGGAGAGGACGATGCTCACTTCCGACTTCGGCTCGCCTCTCCGACCGGAAGGCCTGGGCACACCGAACCTCTGCTTACAGCTCTTCTCCGACCAGGAGGCCGGAGCCGACTGGGGAACGACCGACCGGGGACGCCCACTCGGTGAAGACCCAGGAAACGGACAGAGCAAGTAAGGCGGGGCTCTCAAATCAGCCGCAATACCGAGGACCGTACCCTGCACACCTGCAGGACAAATACTGTCAGGCCGTGTCAGAAGGATGATCCGCAACCTCAACCTTCCAGACATGTCAGAACATGAACAGTGTTGTGGACGTCGATATTTGACCTACAGTATGGTAGACGCCGACATTTGTCATACCAGAAGAGCACGGTGGAACCAACCACATGCATCCAGCCATCAACAGTATTGTGGTCGCCGACAAACCGCCTTGTACCCGACGGCGTGGGCAACAAGACTAGAAAACACACGCACTCCCTTTCTCTCACACTCTCTCTTCTCAAGTCGTCTCCTTCATCTATAAAAGGGGATGCGTTCTCTCCTAAAGGAGAACGATCGATTCGGACGACCAATGATTCCAACGAACAACATACGGATCATTCTGATTCTCTCTGCTCGGCTCTAGAACTCTAAAGCCGAACGAAGCAACACTTAGCGCACGTCGGAGCTCCCGTCACTCTTGGCCCTTCGGTCCGGAGTCCGACCGGATATCTGATACCCCCCATCTTACTCCATCTCGTTTGTAACCCCATAGCAAACTTCGAGCACCTGGGCTCAGGAATAAAGTCACCGACCGACTCAAACTGGACGTAGGGTACGTTGCCTGAATCAGTATAAACCCTATGTCATTGAGTGCTAGGCTACATCTGATCATAACGTACGGCAAAACGACAAATATTTACTAGTTGGTCATTTTTCGCACCGACACATGGTTTTTTTCTTTTCATCAATACACAAAGTTGCATCTTGCCTGATTTTGTTTTCGTTTCTGCAACTCAAATCACACACTAAGCCAGCGCACTCACGGGGAAACTGTTCACCTGCACAGTGCTCACAACAATCAACCGGAACAGTATTTTAGCTTATTTTTCAGTCCTAGCGAACAGCCCCCAAGCCATATGGATGAAGTGAAGCAGAGATGATACATGTAGGAACACGATGTATGTGCCTGGACTAAAATACCGTGCGACTAACACGTTCTTTCAGAGCAACGGTGTCGAAACAAAATGTCAGCTTGCAGCCATTGCTGCATCTCTGTCAGCACAAAAAAATTTATCATTTGTCGTCAGTTACTCATTACTCTACTCGGTTATCTGTTCATGTCTCTTACCCTCCTGTGTGTTTAAGCGCACATGTGTTACAGCTAATCCCAGTGGTAAGGAACAATGCACATACCCCGCCGGTCAGTTAATAAACTCGCTGCTGTCTTATCAGAAGAATCTTTCCATGCGTGCTGAATTGCTGATTACCGACAGGAGGGTAATTGTCCGCTGCATGGTTGATCTGTGGCTATTGTCCTTGTGCAGTGCAGGTTGCCTGCACTGAACTTGATTATCTCTTCACACAATGCGTTGCATTTTTTTTTTTTTGCTCACCAGAAAGCTTTGTAAATCCAACTTCTGAAGTTTAATTAAAAAGGGGAGGTATTCCAAGCCGTATTGAATTCGAACATGTCACATTTATATGATACTGAAGTTTAATACTGAATTCAACTACGTACTCATCAATCAATCAATCATTCACACTTGTTAACATTTATTTCCAAGCAAGACAAGCAGCATACAGGTTAGATTCCATCACATAAACAAATCTATCAAGAAGAATGAGAATCCATCAGCAGTCATCTCTGCTGTGCGTGCTAGCAGCGTTGCAGTACTACTACTATTCTAGCCTAGCCAGCATCCTTTTCAGCTTAGGCCCCCATGCATCTACACGGCTACACCACTGTCTGTCCTTCAGGTAACCACCAGCATGAAACCGTTCGTTGTGCAAGGCCTTCATTAGATCACCTCCAAATTCCAAAATTTTTCACTCTCTCTCCGTCACATCAATTTTTAGTCGTTTGCATGGAACATTAAATGTAGGTAAAAAAAATAACTAATTGCACAGTTTAGTTGGAAATCACGAGATGAATCTTTTGAGCTTAGTTGGTCCACGATTGGACAATATTTACCAAATAAGACGAAAGTGCTACTATTCATCGGTTTGAAATTTTTTACCATCTAAACATGGCCCAACTCTGTTTTTTGGCCATTCTGTCACAGTCAACAACTGTGGATGTTGAATCCAGCGTGGTAGTGGCTGCGCCTGCATGTACGCCCCCTGTCACGGACGAGCGCAAGGCTGCATTGCCCCTGTTCGTGAGCCTGCAACGAGTTACAGTAGTTCGGCATCAAACTGTCGCAATTTTTGTACTCTGTACTGCATTCTGCATGAAAATCCAAGTGAGATATATGAAACGATACGAGGCTAGCTGTAGCACAGTGCTATCAGCAGTATTCATCGTCTTCATCACTACTGACTGTTTAAGATAGGCTGGTGCTGGTCCTGGTAATAACAACGGGTATAACTCGACACTGGCGGCACTACACTAATGTCTTGGTCCATCGCGCTGATCATGGCCGAGGAGCGCCAGAAGGCAGGCCAATGAGCACCGCGTCTCTGCATCATGGAAACGTTAGGTGTTGCAAGAGTCTAGGACCTTGGCACCATGCTATGCAGATGCACTGTTGGATCGGCTCGATCCTCGGCCTGAGCCCTGATGGATCATGGTATGGATGCTGTGTGTTTGTCTGTACACCACGAATGCCCCAAGCAGGCGCAACTGTTTTCCTGTTCATGCCTCACTGGGGACTGTAGGTACGGTGTGGAAGCGTATGCAGTACGCACGCAGCCGATCGATCGATGCCCCTTCACTGCATATGCGGCTTTGGTCCTCGGGCAGTCCAGCTTCGTCCTTGGTGTGCTGCTTGTTTATGCGCCCATCCCATGCATTGACGCGCGCGTTGCGTGGCCGATCGCGATGGAGCTTTCGAGCTGGTGCTGGTCCTCGGCTTGTGTCAGTGAGCAACAGTGTGGTGTGGGAGAAGTTATATATGCGCGTAGATCTGGGCGGAGCCGGAGCCGGAGCTGCTGGCAACGAACGAGTGGTCTAGGTTAGCATAGCAGGGACCAGCGAGCCATGCAGCTAGCCGGGCAGCGATCAGGTCCATTCCATGCAAAGAATTGGGGTCATGAACTCATGATGCAGCTAGAGCTGGAAAAAAAAGGCGTTTTGTGGTGGACCTAGGCCAGCAGAGTGCAGAGTGTGTTTAGAAGGCGGCTGGCTTTGATTAGAAGTAGGGGTACGTAGTCATAGCCTCCTGTATATTGTGGACGTGTGGTAGGTGCATTAGTTAACAAGCTGATCGGGTGCTGTTTGCAAGCCATGGTTGGCGAATGTGTGACTGAATCATCACCTGTTCATTGTTCCTGATGAAGCTGACAAACTGACGGTTAGGATACTTAGATCATAACGCCATTAATAGTAGAGTAGTAGTTACAAATTTCCTAAGCAAATGATAAATTCCTCCGATCTGGCCAGTTTCAGTCGTGCTGTATATGGCGATGATGCATGATTTCACTGCGAATTACTAGCACACGCGCACACGACTGAAAAGGCAAATGGCCTGTTGTCTGACAGAGCGACTTGCTTCGTCCTGTCTCAAGTTCGCTCAATGATCGATCGATCCCGTTCCCGTGGTTAGCTCACTGATCACCTCACTTTCAGACGCGCTCCTGAACAGCTAGGCAGCAGTAGCGGTGTAGGGCCGCTCAACTGCACTTGGGCAAGCTAACCAACGGCAACCGAGCCGAAACCGAAACCCACCACCTGACTTGCGTCTGAGCATGTGGCTGCTAGCTAATAGCTCGTAGCCAAACTGCTCCTGGCTGGCTGGCTCCTGCAATCCAGGGCAGGGGTCTCTCAGTCTCTGCATCATCCATGGCTCGCCCACAGAAATAAAGCCAAGAGCCAACGACAGTTTCAGGTTTGTTGGGGACGCACGGCTCCGGCTCTGCCCGCCCGGCATGCCAAACTGTCAGCTGGTTTGGGAAGAAACCAGCACGCATCCATCGTTGTCAGGAGCTGATCAGATCGGCTGCTGGAGTTAAGACGGACGGACGGCGTATTATGGATGGGCAAGATTCCTGCTGAGCTGAGATGGTGACACCAAAACTGAAAACCACGGGCCTGAATCCTCTTTTCTCTCCCTTTTTTTTCTCGCGGATTTTCATATTCTCAACTAGGGATGGATGGTGTATGTACACACTGATATAATCGCAAGGATCGTATCAGCAGGCTGAATAATAGTAATAATCTACTGACAGATGCAAATATTTTGGGGCTAATCATTGGGGTGGATGCTGCACGCCGACGAAGAGATCGAGGGGGAATCGGATTCATAGTCGTAGTTGTCCTCGTCGTCGTCCTCGAAGTCGTCGAGATCGTCGAAGTCCCATAGCTCGTCTTGCTCCTCCTTCTCGGGCATCTGCCATTGATCCTGAGAAATCTCGCCGGACTCCAGTAACTCCAGCACCTGCCCATGGCCATGTGAACCCAGTCAGTTAAGTACTAACAGTGGCAAATTAATAAAGAGCACTGGAGCTTCAATTGACCGGTCCAGGTCTAGGTCCAGGAGTAACCTCTGACAAGAGCAGCTAGCCGCTGATATGCCTGTTCGCTTGCTCGTAAACGATCGTAAATTTTCAGTCGGAACAGTGTTTTTCTCTCATACCAAACCAGCCAGCAGTAAATAATCCACGATACGATACGGCCTCCCGAACAGGCTGACAGCCCATTGGATTTTATACTCGACTTTTTTACAGTAAAAAAAATGCCAGCCCTACGATGCAATTGCATAACTGAAATACTAATGCGCGTTTAGACATTTTTTTGCGTGAAAAATGAAGTTTTTTATGCAGGTGCTTTGTTTAGTTACAGTAAATAGGATTTTACAGCAACATCGTTCAGCTTGGATAAGTACAGTGAACAGCTCAATAAATCATACTGATGTGCTACCTAAGCACTGCTTATACACTGTAACCAGCTTCTAAAGCAAGGCATCTATCTGATAGTTGTAACGAGAGTAGCAGTGACCAGTCATCGGTGGGGCGATTGTTTATGTGCTGATGGCACAATGAATTATGAATAAAGTAATGCATGATTAAACTTTGATTAGTGTAGACTTGGTCTTTTATATAGCTGTTGGGGTGGCATGTTTTGTACGTTTGCCCCAAGGTTTGTATTCTTGAGCTGTCCTGCATCCCCCACTTCACCTCGCCCTTGGGCTTCCCGTGAACCAAATCAAATGGAGAGAAAGAAATGGTAGGGGAGAAGGTAGGAGCCAACAGAGCATCCTATGCCCCTCCTACAACCAAGAAACCGGCCATGCTGCAGATGTGACCAAACCCTTGTCTGCTTCTGAAGTTCAGTAAAATAATAAGGTTCCAATGGCCTACTCTACTCCTAATAGTCCTGAACCTGTTTGGTACGGCTCCAAGATGCTTCGACTCCTACACTGTTCACACACTGTAGCGTGTCAGAACCGGAGCCGGAGGAGCCCGAAATTCGAGCTTCACAGGCTCCGTGAACAGTAACCGCGCTACAGTGAGAGGAAAATGGCGGGGAGAGAAAACAGCTCCGCTGATACAGTGATGCTACAGTGTTCGTCGTAGGGTGTCAGCCGGAGCCGGAGCTGCCGGGAGCCCGGCCAAACAAGTCCTAAATTTTTGTCATACAGAATGTGAAGAATGCGTGCTTAAACTTTTTATTTGGTATGCTTAATACGTCTAGGGCCCAAGCTGAAAAGAGGAAACTAAGAAATCTTTCTAGGCAATTTGGGAAACATTATTCAGACAAGGTCAATACTGATATGTACTGATGTGTTCAGGCCACCATCCCAAATCCCAATCCCACAAGTTCAACTCAATTGATGCATGCATGATTTTGCCCATCCACAAGTCGACGCTATGTTTTTGTTTGGTACTATACATTATCAGTATGTGAGCGCCCACAACGAATACAGTAGTACACTGTGGGATCCTAGTGAAGCAGCTCTACATTAAAAATTGAGATCTCGCCACACTATGATAGAGTATGACAAGCCCTATGCAATCAGGTTGGGTGTAGTGTTACCTACCAACTGGTCGGTAGATGCCAATGCCAGTGTGCTAAACAAGAACCAAGTCCCTGCTGTCACAACAGACATGGCACGCGATGGCGGTATTTAACAACCGTAGCAGCCAACAAGTGGATGATATAGATACAGTACTAGTATATGCTGCTGCTATTTTTAGGCTGCTCTCAGCTGTCTGGTTAGACGAAGCATATACGGATAATCTGGTTTAATAAGCTCAAACAGTCTAGGCAGAATTATGCCTAAGTGGGATAGCTACCTAGCACCAGACATAACAAACTAATGTTTTCATCAGAGTATATAACTGGACCATTACCTCATCTGATTGTATAACTTCCAATTCATAGTATAAAATACTGTGATACTTATACTTATCAGACCACATACTTGGAACATTTCTGCACCAGCCGTTAACCTCTGTTGTGTTGCCGCTGTTCACCCGATTTTTGTATGGTAGTACTATGATAGAACTGTTGGACCTAACCGTACGCTTTTCGGTTTTGCTAGAAGTGAGCAGAAAACATCTAGGAAAATCTTGGCCACAACCTTTCATAAAAAAAAGAAGAATTATTGGTCTTTTTCCGGTGTATGATTATCGCTATACTTGAAGAAACCTAAAGTTATTTGTTGCCAATTTCAGGGTAATGGCATCATTATTGTCCTTTGCTGAAACCCAGAGAATTCCATCGTTTACCGCCTGTTCGGGAGGCCGTATCGTATCGTGGATTATTTACTGCTGGCTGGTTTGGTGTGAGAGAAAAACACTGTTACCGACTGAAAATTTACGATCGTTTACGAGCAAGCGAACATGCCCAAATCAAGCAACAGGTCAATTAGACCACCAGATGGGAATTAAGATGTCCCCGGCTTTTGTCCTCTGTGATGATGGTTGGAGATTTTTCATCTTTCAAAAGACGAGAAAAAGGAGACGATGGTTGGAGAATTTGATCTTTCAAAGATGAGAAAAAAGGAGGCCACAGATGCAGATTTTCTTGGTGGTGGCCCAGGCGTTTCAACGACCGGGGAGCTAGGCTCTGTCAGTCAGACCCACCCTACCCAAGGCATCGGCATTGTACCCACCCTTTACAACAAATATTAGCTGGATCCTGTTCTCTAGAACAAGTAGGCCACCCACTGTCCAAAGCTACTACTATCTGCACTGCTTGAAGGCAAAGAGCAATGTGCATTTACTTGTTGCAGTGACAATAAGGACAGTTCATTTTTTTCTTGTCATTTCAAACCAGTAATAAATCTGTAGTTTGTGTAGTAGTTTCAGCCAGAACAAAAGAGCAAAGCGCATAAGATGCGGAGAGAGTTGCCTGTTTCCGTAAGCAACGCACTCACCTGTGTCATGGTCGGGCGCCACACCGCGGCGGCCCTGACGCAGAGGGACGCGACGAACATGAGCCGACTCAGCTGCCCGGCGTCGTAGCCGTCGCCGAGCCGCGGGTCCACGAACCCTTGCACGACGCCGTCGCTCAGGTAAGGCTTGGCCTGCATCAAGTTCAAGCCACAGCCACATGAGCAAGGGACTGTGTAGAAGTGAGTGGCACGGTTTTACTGTTGGATGGCTGGACAGTGGACACTCACCCACGCGATGAGGCTCTTGTGTGAACCGTCCACCGGCTTCCGGCCGGAGATGAGCTCGAGGAGGAAGACGCCGAAGGCGAACACGTCCGTCTTCTCGTCCACGATGCCGTGCATGAAATACTCCGGCGCCAGGCACCTGTCATCATCACCACGTACAGAGGTGGCGTGGCGACCGCCCACGCGGCCATGCCATTGCCATTGCCCTCCGTGTCAGCGTCTTCTTCGCCAGCCAGCTTGCATTGCATTATTGTCAAAGTCCAATGAACTGAACAGGGTACGTGAAAAGCAAGCGTCGCTCACCCGAAGGTGCCCTCGATGGGCGCGATGGCGTGGTGCGTCCACTCCGACGGCAGCCACCGGGCGAGGCCGAAGTCCGAAATCTGAGGCTCGTAGTCGGCGGTGAGGAGGATGTTGGACGCCTTGATGTCGCGGTGGATTATCCGGCGCGCGCAGCCCTTATGGAGGTAGCACAGCCCGCGCGCGGTGCCGACGGCGATCCCGTGCCGCTGCTTCCACGACATGGCCGGCAGCTTCAGGTCTGCGCACATTCATTGGTGGTGAGCGGCGGCACTGAGCAGAGCCAGAGCACCGTGGACGTGGGCGGTGGACGAAACTGGCGGTGTCTGCCAGTGTCCATGCATGGTCGCTAGGTAGATGGACACCAGGACATGGACAGGATGGACTTGCCGTGGAGGTTGGCGGAGACGGAGCCGCGTGTGGAGAAGTCGAAGACGAGGTGGAGGCCGCGGTCGATGCAGCATCCCAGGAGCGCGGACACGTTGGGGTGGCGGACGTGGCCCACCGTGCCCAGCTCCGTGAGGAAGTCCTTCTCCTTCTTCTCGTCCGCCGCGGCCGTGGGCGCCAGGCGCTTCACGGCGACGGCGCGGCCGTCGTCCAGGACCCCGCGGTAGACCTCGCCGTACCCGCCCTTGCCCACCATGTTGTCTGCGGTAGTGCGGCGTGTGGAAAAGGCAATGTCAGTTGCCGAAGCAAAATTAAGGGTGCGCGCGGCGGCGTGAACAGCAGAGGATAGGACAGACAGAGGCATGCAGGCGATTCGTGTTTACTACTGTACCTTGGTGGAAGCCATTGGTGGCCTGGTCGAGCTCCTCGTAGGAGAAGCACCTCCAGGTGGGCTTGTTGGGCGGCGGGTCGACGACGACGTCGACGCACTCCTCGGCGCACTCGTCCGCGTTGCTCCGGCGGCCGAGGGACAGGAGCCGCTTCAGGCTCCGGCTCCGGAGGTAATTCATCTCCCACTCCGGTCCACCGAGAGCTAGAAACAGGAGCCCAGCAATGGCAACTCCAGCCAGAAGACGGAAACGACGAGCGGAGGAGCTCCCTCAGCGGAACAACTCCATCAATCAATTCGTTCCCCTCTCTCTCTCCTGTTGCTGCCTTGCTGCGTGACGAGACGACGCACGCCGCGGCCGTATTGAAACCGGCGTGCGCGAGCACGTACGAGTAACAGTGATGACACGGGGCGGTTAAAGAAGAGAAGGGCGTTTCTTCAGTCAAGAGCTCAGGCCAATGGTGGAGACTGGAGGAGTCCGCTGCTCTGCTCCGTTGCGCAGGAGCGCATTGAATTGGACGCCGAGCAGCGAGCACAGAGCGAGAGAGAGAGAAACTGCCGCTGCCGTGTCCGCGCACGCTGCGCTGCTGAGCCGCTCTCAACTGCACGCGCGAGCCAGCGGGGATGTCACTGTCGATGCCAGTGCCCCCGTAGCCGTAGCGAGCAAAGCACAAGCAGGAGGGAGGGCGGCAGGCAACAGCGCAAACGGAGGCGGGTGGTGTCAGAGACTGACAGACAGGGGGAGCCAGCGAGCGACGAGGCCGTCGCGGCGGCCGGCCCGGCCCCCTTTTATCCGGTCCTGGCGCGGGAGGTACACGGGTCGGGGTCGGTCGGGGCCCACCCACCAACGGAGGAAGAGGAGGAGGAGGAGGGGACGTGCGTGTCGTCTTGTACTCCTGGGTCCGGGCCACGGGACGGGAGCGCGGCCTGTGCACTGTGGTTGTCTGGGCTGGCCTCGTCGGGGTCTGTCGTCTCGCCCGTGTTTCCTTCGCTGGCGGCCTGGCGTCGTTGATGATTGAGCGCGTGTTCAGTTACACCCTAAAACTCAAAAAAATGCTACAGTATCTGTCACATCAAATGTTTATGATCTGTGCATGAAACATTAAATGTAGACGAAAAAAAAACTAATTACACAGTTTTGTAGGAAATTACGAGACGAACGTTTTGAGTCTAATTAGTCCATGTTTGAACACTAATTGTCAAATAAAAACGAACGTGCTACAGTAGCCCCAAATTCCAACTTTCTGAAACTAAACACGGCGTGAGGCTTTTTACCTGCCTAGGTGAAAGTTCGAACACGCCCATATACCATCGAGTTAAACTTTTTTACCTTCTGCGCCATTCCGTTCACTTTTTTTTGGTTTTTACGGTTTGGCAACCCTATGTCCAGTCAGCTAGAATGTCCAAAATGCCCCCTTCTTAACCCTATCCTCTCCACGTGCTGCGAGCGCTATAGGATGCAGCCACGCGGAGGGCGTGGGTGGAGGCCGGGGAGGTACGCGGGCCGGTGCTGTAGGCGCTCCTCGCGCTTGAGGCCGGCGCCGACGACCTCCTCGCCGGCGATCCCGGCCTCGTCGCCCTGTGCCACCTCTGTGCCAACTCAGACCCCTTCGTGCTCCCTTGACCTGTGCCCCGGCTCCCTGTGCACGTGGTGCCGTCGGTGCAACGCGCGTGGCCGGCGCCGGCGAGATCCAGGCGTGGGTCTACCACTAGGCCAACGCGCGCCATGTGGCCGCGCTGTGCGACGGCAGGGCGGACGCCGCAGCACGCTCCTCACGGAGCTCGAGGCGCGCCTGCTGTCCGCGGACGGGCGGTTCGACCTGCGGCTCCAGCGCGTGCTGCTCCGCCACGGCGTGTTCCCCGCGGTTGAGGCTGGGCTCGGGGACCCGCTGTGGGCGATGTCTGCGCGGCCACGGTGCTAGCGCCGGTGCGCTTCAACAAGGACATGTTTGTCGGGCCCGTCCCCATGGGCCTCGCCGTCAGAGCCTTGGTGGCGTCGGGTACTACGACCGCAAGGAGGTGGTGGATGCGCTCCTCACCGAGGGCCTCGTGAAGCTCCTCCTCTGCCTTCAGCGCTTCGACCTCGGCGGCTCGCTCACGGACACGGACGAGGACGGCGGCGCTGTGGCGAGCAGACGGTGGCGGCGCGAGTGAAAGCTCTAGTTTGGTTTTGGTAAATTGATGAAACCTTAAGTGTTAACCTAGTTTATCAAAGTGATTATGAAATAGGTGGCACATTCCAAGTGGTGAAGCAAATGAAGATCATGACATGATGATGATGATTATGGCATGGTGATGATCATATGCTTGACTTGGAAAAGAGGAAAGAAAAAAAAAGTTCAAGGCAAAGGTAAAATTGATAGGAGCTTTTCGGTTTAGTGATCAAGACACTTAGAGAGTGTGATCACATTTAGAATCGATAGCCGTACTATTAAGAGGGGTGAAACTCGTATCGAAATGCGGTTATCAAAGTGCCATTAGATGCTCTAACTCATTGCATATGCATTTAGGATCTAGTGGAGTGCTAACACCCTTGAAAATGTTTTGTGAAAATATGCTAACACACATGCACAAAGGTGATACACATTGTGTTTAGCACTTGGGAGCAAAGGTAAGAAACTTCACCGGTGGCGCCCTGTACATAAAAGATAGGGTTTCACAGAGTGCACCGGACGCTGGCCTCAACTGGACCGGAGCGTCCGGTCAGTGGAAGCAGTGAAGACGCTGGCGTCGGTCTTCGACCGGACGCTGATGGGGTGCGTCCGGTCCTGTTGACGTGGCAGCGCACAGAGAAGAGGGTGGCTGACCGGACGCTGGGTGAGTCCGGTCAGGGGTAACCGGACATGTCCGGTCGCGAATGGAACCTTACTGGAAACGACTGGACGCTGAGGTCCTACGTCCGGTTACTTCGAAGCAACGCGTCCGATCACAACTTAAATGTACTGATGACCGTTGAGATCGGGCGATCAACGTTTGAAGCAGGTGCCACATGGCATGCATCGCGCGACCGGACGTTGGGGTCCAGTGTCCGGTTGATCTGACCGGCGCGTCCAGTCGCCCCGATTTTTAGTAGACTAAGGATTCAACGTCTCTATTTCGTGGGGGCTTCTATTTAAGCCACATGGCCGGCTCAAGCTCACTCTCTTGGCCATTTGCATTGACATAGCAACCTTGTGAACTTAGCCAAAGCCCTCCCACTCATCTTCATTATTGATTCATCATCTTTTTGAGATTGAGAGATAATCAAAGTGCATTGCTTGAGTGATTATATCTAGAAACACTTGGTATTCGTGTTTCGCTGCGGGATTCGCTTGTTGCTCTTGGTGGTTGTCACCACCTAGACAGCTTGGAGCAGGGGAGGAGGTTTGGCACGAGTTGGTAATTGTTAGTGGCCATCTCCAGTGATTGTGAGGGGACTTATGCCTTTCCCGACGGAGCGCTGAGAGATAACCCTAATGAATTGCTCGTGTCATTGAGTTACCTCACTTATGGGTAGGTTCTTGCGGTGTTCAATTATGTAGATGAGGTCCGTGCAACACCTCTTAGCCGTCGAACCACCAAGTGTTGGTCGACACAACAGGGGCGTAGCGTGTTGGTGAGCACGTGAACCTCGGGAGAAAATTAGTAGTCTCTTGCCCTTTGGTATTCTCCTGATGATTGATTTAGTGTTCATCTTGTGATTGGTTCACTCCTCTACACGGCGGTATAATCATCCTACTCACTCATTTATATTCTTACAAACTAGTTGTACCAAGCTCTTAAGTGTAATTAGAATTGAGAGCTTGCTTTGTTATTTTGTGTTCATCTAGTGGAGTTTTTTAGTGTAGCAAGTGTGAGAGCTCTCAGTGAGTAGTAACTTAGCAAATTGAGTGTCTAGTGATCATAGTAACTAGAATTGTTGAATAGGTGATTTACAACTTTTATAGAGCTAAAACAAATTTGTATTCCGCTATTTATTATATTAATCAAATTGTTCTAATTATTTTATAAATTTTTATATAGTCTATTCACCCCCTCTAGCCTGAGGAGCTTTCAGCGAGGCAAGGCTGGGGCGGCAGCGGCGTGGCTGCGCTGGTTGTGCGCGCAGGTGACCGGAGACGGGGCGCGACATTGGGTTGCAGCGCGCAGCGCGTGTAGGCGAGGCGACCCCTGTGCGTAGGTCCTGATCTCCGTCGTGAGCTGCGCCAGCGTGTGCCTCGAGTGGTGATGGTACGAGACCACATCGGCCGCGTCGTTCTCTGTGGGAGCGCCCGCCCCAAGGACGGCGCGCACATCAACCTGGGCGCGTTCTATGGCGTCGGCGCGCCCGTGGCCCGTGGCATGGCGCCGGCGTTCTGGGCGGGGCAGGGCTTCAAGGGCCTCTGGCTCGGCCTCCCGGTCACGCAGGCCGCCTGCGTTGCCATCATGCTCGTGGTGATCTCCCGCACGGACTGGGCCAAGCAAGCCGAGCCCCGACCTGGTGCTCGTCGGAGTTGTTGCGCCCGGCGGCCACGTTGCTGTGAGCGGAGACGACGACGGTGATAATAAATCAGTTTGTAATTAGTTTGGCAGCCCTCAGTTGCGCTGTCCATGGTTGTTCTGAATAATACCATAAAAATTATATCTTTTTAAAAATAGTTTGGCTTATTATTATCTTTTTTTTTATTTTAGTCTTGGGTACCAGCTAGATCCAATATATTGTGAATAGGTTGTTGTTTAATATAAGAAAGTAGCGAGATTTTCAAATTTGTGATGTTCAAAACTAAAAATTATTGCAAATAATTTAAATACAAATTAAATTAATGTGGTCAAGAAGGGTTAACGCCAATCAGTTTGGCTAAAACACTCAATCAGGGAGTGGCACGGGGGAAACAAAATTTTATCTCACCTTCTCTGGTGTGAGGGCATTTAAGTTTTTTCGCAGCTCCGTTAGCCACCGTTATCAGCGACAGAACGACGTTGAAGACAATAAAGTTTAGGAAAATAACACTTAAATGTATTTAAACTTTTTAGTGACTTATAAATTAGGATCATCTTTTGTAAATGATTGCCGTGTGCATTCCCTTCCGAGCGACCCGCTCCGATTCGTCCGCGCGCCAATGAATGCGGCCGGCTGCGCTCGCGCGTGCGTGTCGCATGCGCTGCGCTGTGACTGTGAGCCCTGTGACTTCGCGACTGCCACTTGGTGGGCGTCTGCGTGTG